ATAATAATAGTGATGATGATGATGATGATGATGATGATGGCATCTTTTTGTCTGCTTCTAGTACAAACTGGCTTTAGTCACGTGACAAAATAAGTTTTAAAGTTAGTGTTTGTACAACGTTAGCAGTTCCACAACAATGTGTAGGTAAAATACACACATGTACAAACAGGTCCTGTACACGCCTCCACACACACAATGTTCTCATTAACGCACATCTGATCTACACAACCACTGGGGGGCGGGGTCAAAGGTCAGCACGGTGGGAAACTCAACGTCTGCAGGAATGTTCTCAGGTTCTTCTCAGGGTCTCCAGAGCTGGAGGAGCTGGAGGTCCTGGAGGAGCTGGAGGTCCTGGAGGAGCTGGAGGTCCTGGAGGAGCTGGAGGTCCTGGAGGAGCTGGAGGTCCTGGAGGAGCTGCTGCAGAAGGTTTCTTCAGAGGATGGAGGCAGCAGACGATGGCAGTGTTTTATTTGACAGATCAACAGTTTTTACATGATTTACAGGTTTTAAAGCGCAGCAGGCTGAGAGGAAGCTCCTCATCCTCCTCATCACAGGACCATCAGGCTCCTCTGCAGAAGACCTGGACTTGTTGATGATGACACATCGAGCCCACACCTGATCCCAGTCCTGGTCCTGCTGGGGAGGAGGGGGCGGGGCCTTCATGAGTAGGACAGGTGCGAGCCGTTGGAGATGTGGGAGGTGACGGACGTGCTGCGGCTGAGGCCCCCGTCGCTCCCCACGCCGCCACCCGGGCCCCCGGAGGCCGTCCTCCTGAGTGGCTGGGGGCTGTTCCTGAGGGCCATCAGGCCGGGGCCCCTGACGCTCAGACTCAGGCCCCCGCCTCCGTAGCCCCCCTGTGAGGAGGAGGAGGAGGAGGAGGCGGAGGAGGGAGGGGAGGAGGAGGACAGGGAGATGGGCGGGGGCTGCGATGAGGGGGGCAGGAGGGCCAGGGACTGGGAGGAGGAGTGAGAGGAGAGGTGGTGGAGGCCCTGGGAGTGATGGGAGTAGTGCCCCCCGCCCCCCACCCACTCCCGGGCTCGCTCTCGCTCCCGGGGGTCCCGCTCGTCGCGGTACAGCTGCGGTGTGCTCTGGTGGTGCTGGTAGTGCTGCTGCAGGTGGGAGGAGGAGGAGGGCCCCCTCACGCTCTTCGTCAGGTCACCGTGGGTGGAGACCACCGACTCGGCCCGGCTGAACCCCCCCACGCTGTGGTTCTGACTGCGCCAGGAGGGTGTGGCCACAGAGTTCTGGACGCTGTGGCTCCAGTGGCTGCCGGAGCGCGGGACGGGCCTCGACGGCCACCCTCCGGTGCCGGAGGAGGGGCTGGGGGTGGGGTAGCCCTGGTTGTAGGCCTCTGCAGAGATCCCAGTCAGAGCCATGTTGCTGAAGCCCAGACGCATGCTCTCTGAGTCGAAGGCCTCGATCTCATGGGCCTGGCGCTCCAGCAGAGTCCGGATCCGCTCGGACCGCTCCGTCTGAACGGAAAGCATCTCCTCCTCGATCTGATGAGACAAAACACAGCGTCAGACAGCAGGAGGGGTTCAGGAGTCAAACACAACCTGAGGTTCTCCTCTGGTACCCTCTGCTCCAGCAGCGCTCGGCGGATGGACACCCTCTGCTCCAGCTCCTTCACCTCACGCTCGTGCTGCGTGTCCGTGTGGATCTTGATTTTACTCTGGTAGGCGTTGAGCAGTTCCAGCTCCTGCTGCAGCTGCATGTGCAGAACCTGGTACTCCGTCTCCTGGGTCTCATCCAACCGGATCTGCAGAACCAACCCCACAGGTTAGGAGGCGGAGACTTCCACTGGTTCTCTGAAGCCGGTTCTTGTGAATTCTGATCAATGTTTGTCAGGGTGATGTCAGCATGTTGTTGGAGTGATGTCAGCATGTTGTTGGAGTGATGTCAGCATGTTGTTGGCATGTTGTTGGAGTGATGTCAGCATGTTGTTGGAGTGATGTCAGCATGTTGTCAGCATGTTGTTGGAGTGATGTCAGCATGTTGTTGGAGTGATGTCAGCATGTTGT